TCGGAGCTCTAGAGTAATAACTTTTCGTTTCAATGGCAAAACTCGATGACAGATGTTTCTGTTACTTTACGGCCGCCATGTTTGTGTCCCTCCGAACAACGGAAGAATGAAAAGCCGCACACCTAAATCTTGGCGAGGTTGTTTATATATCAGTCATCTTTCATATCCCAGCTTCTTGACTTAATTGAATGAATAGTTATGATTTTTATTTTTGATGGCGTGACACTGCAAACCAGCCATACGTACCCTGTTTCAGACCTGCCTTATAATTAGTTCCCTAGAATAGATCAGTGTTAAATTGCCGTAAATATACTTTGTGAAGGGTTTTTGCTGATGTTCTTTTCGATATTGATGAAAAAGTGGCTTCTTCTTAAAAACATACCCATATCAAGACTAGAGTGCAAAAACCATAACCTTATGGCCAAAATAGCCAAAATCAATGCCCTATTTATTACCAAAACAGCTGAAAACCCATACCGTTTGGGGCTGTACATACCTTTATAGCCCATATAAGGGAGTGCCCCTCCCCCTGGGCATGACCCCACCCTATACACCCCACCCTCCCCTTCACATACCACTAAATTCCTAGTGTTTAATTTGGAAGGAGATTGATTTTGGTGTGGAACAGGCAAGTAATCTAATCAATCTAGTCTCGACCAAGTATCGGTCGAGATGTTGATCAAGTGTCAATCAAGATGCCGATGGAGAGTCGATCAAGTTAAACATAAGAGGTAGCTTATAAATACTGGGACTGTGAAGTGACTTTTTGTTTTTGCTCTCTTGTATTGTTTTACGCAGGCTTTAGTGAAGAATCGCGTCAGTGGCATTAACTATCTTGATGTTTATTTTCGTGGAGGTGTTTTTTCTTTACCCAGTCTGCCAGCAACCCTCGGAGTGGAGGGTGCAGGGGTGGTTGAAAAACTTGGGCCTGGTGTTGAGGGTCTGGCAGTAGGAGATCATGTGGCATACTTTCATGTTGGTTCAGGTGAGTTAGGATTTTGTTTGTAAGATATTCATTAATTGTTTACTTAAATTTCTTTGAGGTCATCTTAATTCAATCTTCAATCTTTCAATCTGTATTTTGTTCCTCAATTTACATAGCCTGCATAGCAGCCGTTTCCTTTCCTTTTCCAGGCAGAGAGATCAAACCAGCTTGCAAGTGAGCAGGCAAGCCAAGGAGCGTGCCTGGGGTGAGCAAAAAACTGGGAAGAAGTGAGGAGGGGGTTGAGTGTTCACTCGCAGTTACATTCCCTTCTCATGCTTTTGTGGAAATGCCTGCTATGCAGACTACAATTTGGATTTTTACAGTTACACAGGCCAGCTAATAGCTAGTGCTAGTCTAAGCAGGCCAGTCTATCAAGATCTAATTACAAACATTTTTATTGATAAATAGATTAAGTATATAGAAAATTAGGAAAAAGTAAATAATATAGAAAGGTGGGAAAAGGAAACAGAGGAGTGAGAGATTATCAGCTTAATTAGATAATACATACATGTATGTACATCTGTTATTATTTTTATTTACTTCTTTTATGTATGCTACTGATATTTTACTTTAGAAATGATCTTGTGTACAGGTGTATGTCTTAACTGATTATCTTATTCATGCTTGATAAATGACATGTTAAGTTGACGAAAACTGCCAACTTTTGAAATTATTGGCATCTACTGACAAAAATAATTTAGTGGTGGATTCCCTTGGTGGTAATTAATTTCACAATGCTGCCTTCTTTATGTCATTGACAGGTAGCTATGCTGAATACAGTGTTGTTCCTGCAGCTAAACTCGTTAAAATTCCATCAGATATCACTTTTGAACAAGCAGCGACATCCATGATCCAGGGCATGACTGCCCATTACCTGGTTCACTCAGTATACCCAGTGGGACCTGGGACCAAGGTTTTGGTGCATGCAGCTGCTGGGGGAACTGGGTCCCTCGTTTGTCAAGTGGCCAAGAATGCAGGTAACACAGCATGTTGCTGTTGTTAAAAGGAGTGTAAGGGGAGTAAATTTTACATCCTAACTCTCCTGGATTAATCGGGAACTCTTCAGTGGGGTTTGTTGAGCCGTGGTTCATATTTTGTGGCAAGTCTGGTTCAGCCAAAATATTCTTGGTAGGGCCAAATGAACCAAAGTTCATGTGGCGAAACTGCATATTCACCTTGTCAAAATTTGGGCAAAACTTAGTCTTATAACCCAATTAGGAACCTGGGCTACCCCGTTTGTTTTCCCTTGAATATCTTGTACGTACCTTGGGTTGCAAGCGTTAGGTCCAAAATACACACCTGTATAGCTGCCACAGCTTTGTATGTCCCACCCAGCATCCTTCTTGCATGACTGTATCAAATTAATATAAGCTGTCCTGCAAAATTTGCAGCGGACATATGTACGCCTTGCGGACCTAAGGAACGCGGACGAACAGATTCGCGAATATTTGCGCTACCTTTTGATTGGATCAAGAGAATCGGAAAATCTTCGGCTGCTACAACGAAAAATTGCAGAGAGCTGCGCTTGCAAAGTGATGCAATATCGCTAAGTGATGTGTTGTCGATGATTTTAGGAGCTTATGTTATTGGCACCACAAGCACGAAGGAGAAAGCTGACAAAGCCAAAGGGTGTGGCGCAGATGAAGTTATTATCTACTCTAACAACGACTTTGTCGAAGAAGTTAACAGGATAACCGAGAGTGTAGGTGTCAATGTCATTTATGACGGAGTTGGAAAAGCAACTTTCAACAAAGGCAAGTTGTGTTTGTAAGAGATGCAAAAAACTGTTTGTATTGTGCTAGCGACAACAACAACAGCAAGCTTTCTTCCCCCTTGGACTAACAAATATTATTAGCGATGAAAAGAAGAGGCCTTTTAGTGAAGACAAGAGAGCATAAAGAGTAAAAGTGCTACTCACCCATATAGGCCTCGCCACAAGGTAATCCCTGTAAGGCTATTTTAAGATCACTCTCGGTTTCGGAAATCCCAAGAGGTTTCAGACATAGGCTATCTTGTGACGCAGAGTTTGCTCTCGTAGACAGCGCATGGCAAGTGGTTTTAAAATACTTCCCCGACTCGCTTGATAACATTATCAACCGAAGGCCTGGGCACCATGTCTAAAACTAAACTTGAGATTACTTGAGAGGCGTAACGTTAGTTAAGAATAAGCCTAAATGGGGATTGATTCTCTCACCCTCATCCTTTCTTGGTAAAGTCTAGGATTTGCCACATTCTTCTAGTTGCGTTTGTGGTGCGATTTGATCGTTAAGGGATTTTGGAACAAGTATTTAATCGTTGATTTCGGATCTAAGGGCGAACACAGTTTCAACAGAATCATTTCCCAGAGTTTGTTGGAAAACACACGAAGCTGTCGCGAAATATTTTTAGCTAGTATTTTCATGTCTCATGTTTGTTTTTCTGTAGGATTCGGTTGTCTAGCGACACGTGGTACCATGGTCCTTTTCGGTGGTGCTTCTGGTTACCCAGTCTCCCTCGATCTCGCACTTCTTTCCGGGTCACACAGTGTGGTTCTCCCAAGGTTATTCGACTACATTGCCACGCCTAAGGAATTGAATGAAAGAGCTAACGATGTGTTCAATTGGATTTCACAAGGGAAGATTAAAATGGATAGTTTCACCGTTCTTGCTCTGTCAGAAGCCAAGAAAGCTCATGATATGCTCGAAGGCAAGAAAACAACAGGAAAACTTTTGCTTAAATCTTGACGTTTCTTGCTCAAATGTTCCTGACGGAAGGAGACAGTGAAGGGAACAGATATTCTTCTCCTTCCCTGAAAACGGCTTGGTTTATTGCTTACGCTTAATAATAAAAAAAATAATAATAAAACTTTATCAAAGTGTCAGACGCTAAAACCCCTTTATATCGTACAAACACCACTTGACCGTACATGTTCCCTTGGAAATACTCTACGTTTCTGCCAAGCTCCATATTAGACTGTCTGCTATCTGTCTGGTTTGTGACTTATAATAGCCCTTATCACGGTTAGTTTTTCTCATTTGAATTAAAATGTAATCAATAATAATAAACATCTTTCAACAGGTGTGTCCACGTAGCATATGTGGTTTTCAGAGGGGCCCTGCATACCAAAGAAGCTAAAAGTTAAAAAATGACAGCTATTCGACATTTAATGTTTTAATAAATTATCGTATGTTTCCAATAACAATGATAATGATAATGAAAATAACTAATAATAATAATAATAATAATAATAATAATAATAATGATAATAATAATAATAATATTGACCTTATTCATGTGTGAACGTAAAATTCTAGCAGAGGAGAATCGTACTCCCCTCTGCCAATAGGGAACAGCTAAAATAAAATAAATTTTATCGCTTGAATTTACGTCGTTTTTTGATTACTTCTGTATGTGGGCGGTAGGCACCGAACCCTGTGATTTTATTTCATTTGTCTTTATCGTTTATCGAGTAATTTTGTTGGCTCGACTTCCAACCGTTTTGTGAGTGACACTCCGTCTACGTCCGGAAATAGAGAAGGGCAATCCCTCCCCNTCCAAACCCTTCCACGTAGCGGTCCGGCTAGATGCACTTTTTTTGCCCCCCCCCCCCCCCCAAAAAAAAAAACAGTAAAAAAAACCTTGTTTTTCTATTAATTTCCATTTTCTTTAATAGGTATTTCCTGCAAGCAGCAGTCCAAAAAAGGAAAAAGAAAGGGAACAGGATCTAGGAAGCAGCAGTAGTTACTAAAATCGAAAACCATCGGTTTGTAAATTCAAAAATCGAGATACCAATCTTCAAAATAAAGGAAAACGAAAAGAAAAAGGAAGGTAAATGGCCAAAAACGCAAAACCCAAATGTGCCCATCTCTCTTGAACATCATTTCGACAGTCATTTTACCTCCTGTTGTTGAGCATCACTGAATTTTTCTGGACAGGGCAAGATTACTTCCAATCCTATGGAACTTCTAAAAGACATTTTGATGCATTCTGACGGAGTTATTTTAATTTGGACTTGATGTCGGGGTGCAATATATATTTTAACTTTTGTAACGAATTCATCAACGTGTATTGCGTAACGAGTAAAAAGTTAATGAATAACGTGTGTCAAATGTTACAGCGCAATCAAATCAAATCGTGCCAGTGCCGCATGCATAGACTGCATACGTAAGCTTTCAGGCAGATCAGGACTTAACAGGGTTAGGATCTGCACTTCAACGTTTTAAGTTCGCGTGAAGGATGTTCTTTATTTCGCTGCTCGTCTCTGCAAGTAGGTACATTCTTCTGATCATGAATTTTACTGTAGGCGTTTGAAACATGAAGCGGATCCCAAGTTGTAATCTTGCTTGCGTTGGCTGCCAATGTTGTGCTGATTTTCACATTTGATTGTATGGGTTTCCGTAGATGAAATGTTGGTGTTGGGGTATTGAATTTGGGGCAAACAAAATTTTAAAAGAAGGATGATAGTCTCTCAATCTTGTAATATCGCTTGATTTTAAGTCATCCCGATACGAGTTGCAGGCGAGCGAGGGGGGAATTCAAAGCCACGTGAAATGTCTTAGGAATTGTAACTAAATTTGTGAAACCAGCACTTAACCATTGTCGAGTTCTATGTCTTATTCCAGGTCGATATTTTCGAAAATGTCGATATTCTCCCTAAATTGAAGTGGTGTTATTAACCTTCTGCGCCTCAGTTTCACAACTGCTCTCTTCCAGACAGTTTAACTAGATGCGAAAGACTATAATTGTCATACGAGTCGTTTTTACCGATTTTTTACCGATAATTTTCAATAGAGAAAGATTTTCATTTATTAGCGAGACTTCCTTGAGGAATCTCTGAAACCATACACGTGTGCCTGACTCGGGTAAAATGTTTGCGGTATGGTATTGCTTTAAACTGTATAAAGTTTAGAATAGCTTGGGATGAGTAAACAAGCCGCAGACAACATTAACATGAAAATGAAACAATTTTTGTCAGTTCTGTGGAATTTAATCTAGTCTTGCAGCCATGTACTTCAATTCATGATATATATTTCATAAATATTCGATTCGATGATCCGTCGGAAGTGGGGTATATCGACAGTAATCGTTCCATACCATATGAAACGTTCTGATTTGTTTAGAACAGTGGCCCTAGCGACCACAAAGGTTACTCGGTGACGAGTTGGTAACAGTGGAAATGACATACACAATATGGCCAATATTTACTTACCTGCGATCAGGCGTGTTTTCTTAAATTTTTTGGTGACGGAAAAAAAACCAACGAAACAAAGAACGCATTCCGATGGATGACCATGGCATGTGAGTTAGTTTCAGCAAGAGTCTCTAAGTATTGAAAACGTCTTCATTTTATTTAAAATGGATCGTGTACCTCTATCAGGGTGTACATTTATTCACATATTGTGCAAGTGTTAATGTAATTTTTGCATAATTTATGTCATTTTCTCATATCGAGAACATGGCGTAATTTTTATCTTTCTGTATATCGAAAGAACCACATAATATGTGTTTGTCTGGTCATATACGCTATACGTCTTAGCTATCCTGGAATACCGATGACTACCCCCGAAGGTTGCAAAGATAGAAAAAGAAACAAAAATCAAATCCGAAAGTGACGAGGTTCATTACTTTGGAAGCTTCACAATGGTTTATTTTATAATAGAACTCATTTGAGTCAATCTTTAGCTTGCAAATCAGTGCTACTCAACAATTACACCCGTAGCCCGCAAGGGCTACGGGTCAATAGCCCATGAGGCGAAGCCGAATGGGCTAT